GTATTGAAAAAAAAAACCCGCCTATATTTGGGTTGGTTTGGTTTTAACTAAAAAAAATCAACCCGACATTATATATGCAATTTTAAAATTTTATTTTATACATAAAAATGTTTATTAATATATAATTTATATATTTTTCTTAATCTTTCTCACAAATTTATGTTTAATATTAGTGAACTTTGGGCTACATTGTTGACTTGAGCCCACCTGTTATTTTTAGGAATAAACAAAAGCCCAAATAAATTATACAATTCAACTATCCCTATATAATATTCTCTATCTCATTTAACAAAGATCATTAAGTCAGTAGCTCTTCACCTTCAAAGGCTTAGTCACTGTTAGGTTTTACTCCTTAGCTATTAGGGCATATATTGAGCTCGTCTTTTGGATTTTAGTTCAAATCATCATCAACTCATCTTAATCTGGGTAAGTAATTGCTATTAACTCGTTTTTAGATATTTTTCTTGTATTACAATTGTCAACAACATCACAATTTTGGGTAGTTGAATCATAGATATAAACCTAAAAATTATACATGTTGGTGTCCATATCTATGGTGTGTAAGCTTAGAAACAAGATGATGATAAATTTTTTATATATAAGTTTCACTTATTGCTCTCTTTACTTATGTTGTTTTAATGCAATGAAAAAGGGGCAAGTGTTCGACTCATTGCTTTTGGTTCCATTTGTATGGAGGTTTTTGTACTGTAAACATCGTGATGGTCCGCAGAGATAAGGAAAAACAAGTGATAGAGATAAAAATTTAAGAGACTATTAGATTTTGATAGCAGTAGCCAGTAATATACATCAAACTTTTCTAACCAAATATTTGTACTATATTTGTATCTGTTTTGGTTTCAAAGTGAAATATACTTCTAAGTCTTGTGCACAATACTTGAATGGAAGTCTTGTTGAAACACAATCTTGTATCAGAATACTAATAACTATTGTTATGTATGTGCAGCAACTTTCTATTTGGATGGAAACTACACCTTCTGTAACGGATGTAGAGGTAATTAATAATATTCCTTCAACTATGTCGACAATATCTCAACAACAAGGCAAAGTAACTCCACGTCGATGCATACCCCCTAAGAAGCAAAAAAGAGCAGCTCCTCCGGTCGCTCCTAACTCTGGAACTACAGGTAGAGAAATATTTCAAATTTGGGATTATTTCTCCAAGTTTATTGCTAAAGGAGGTAAATGTAGGGCAAAATGTAATTATTGTACTAAAACATTTGCTGCCGACAGTGTCAATGGGACAACTACGTTATGGAATCATTTAACTGTGAAATGTCTCAAGTCTCCATTCAAGTCCGATAAGTGGCAAACAACATTAAAACCTATTAAAAGAGGTTGGCCAGAAGGTGGTTCCACTGAAAAAGGGGTGTTTAATATGGATGAAATTAAGAGAGCAATTACCGAATTTATAATTATTGATGAGCAACCGTTTAGAGTTGTTGAGGGAGAAGGATTCAAAAAATTAATGGCTAAAGCCTTTCCAAATTTTGAAGTACCTTCTCGTGTAACTGTTGCTCGACATTGTCTAAGGATTTATCAAGAGGAGAAAGAAAAGCTTAAGGAGCTTATAAAAAACCAACGTGTTTGTCTTACCAGTGATACATGGACGTCAATCAAAAATTATACTTATATGGTCATCACTGCACATTGGATTGATGATCAATGATATCTACAAAAGACAATTCTTAATTTTTTTCAAACACCAGATCACAAAGGTGAGACTATAGCCAAGGGGATTGAGAATCGCTTATTAGGTTGGGGCATTGAGAACTTGTTTACAGCGACCTTGGATAATGCAACCGCAAATGATGCTGCCATTAAGATTTTAAAGGGGCGTATTGAAGATTGGAAAGGGGTAATGTTTGAAAATCAGTTTTTACATGGTAGATGTAATGCTCATATTTTAAACTTGATTGTAAAAGAGGGGCTGGATGAACAAATTGAGCCTATTTCTCATAGAAGAAGTGCTATAAAATATGTCAGGTCTTCTTCTTCAAGATTTGCTACTTTTAAGTCCGTTGTTGAGAAAGTTAAGATTGACACCCGTGGTTTTGTAAGTCTGGATGTTGAGACTAGATGGAACTCGACATACACAATGTTGGATAAAGCTTTGAAATTTGAAAATGTTTTTGCAAGAATGTATGTGGATGACCAGAATTATCAAAAGCAATGTCGAGAAATAGGTACAACAACAAAAAATCCATCAACAGATGATTGGAAGAATGTGAAAGCTTTTGTGAAGTTTCTTAATATTTTCTATCAAGCAACTTTAAAATTTTCGGGCAGCTTATATTCTACTTCTGACTCTTTCTTTCATGATTTTTTCAATCTCCAAAATGATATTATCAAGTATACTAAACATGATGATCTCATTTTGGTTGATATGGCAACAAGAATGAAATCCAAGATGGATAAATATTGGGGTAAGTTTGAGAGTATGAATATGTTACTATCAGGTTGCTGTTGTGTTGGATCCTAGATACAATATGCAATATGTAGAGTATATTCTTTCTATTGCATATGGCTCTTTGATGGGAAGATTAATGATGTGAGAGATGTTTTGAATCTCTTATATAATCACTACAATTGTTCTTGCTCTGAAGATCCTAACGAAAATATTGAAAATGATGATTAAGTGATGGGTGAATCTAGTGATTTATTGCAATCCCAGTGGGAGAAACACATGAATAAAGAGGGATTTGTTGTAAAAAAATATGATCTGGAAATATACTTGAAAGATGATGTAGTGAAGATCAATGATTTTAATATTTTGAGTTGGTGGAAAGTTTCATCCTGTAGATACCCAATTGTTGCGAAAATTGTTAGGGATATCCTTTCTATTCCTATTTCTATTGTTGCATCTGAGTCAGCTTTTAGTACAGGTGGTCGAATTCTTGATAGTTATCAAAGTTCTTTATCTCCAAAAATGGTAGAAGCGCTTATTTGCACTCAACAATGGCTACGATCGCCTTCTAAAGAATGCAAGCTTGAAGATATATTAGAGGAAGTCCAGAAAATTGACGAAATTTAAGAAGGTAACTTTATATATTCTAATTGTTATTAAAAATGATTCTGCTTTTGAATTTTATTTAGTATTCAATTTGTTTCAGTTCTTTCAGAATACCCCGACTCACCTTTGAGGATTGATTAGCTAGTTGATGTACTTTAATTTCACTACATGGAACAAAGGTATTAGTTCATTCTTTTGTGATTGTTAATTACCTAATTACTGTTGCTCTAAATAGTAATAAGAACTAAGGACTAAACATCATCAACTTAGTTAATCCATTGCTAATCAACTTAATTGATTTGTATTGTCTACTTTGCAGATGCAGGCTATGATTTTTGGAAAATATGTATAGAAGATCTCACTTCAAAAATGTTTTGTTCCTCTAGGTACAAGGTCCTAGGTGGTAAGTAATGATGGTGTAGAATTTAAAGATTTGAATGTAAATAACTCGTATTAACTTTTGACGACAATATTTTGACTATGCAAAAATTGTTTAAGCCACTATGTTACTTTCATGAATTTCTCTAATGTATAATGAATCACTCTTGATTATTGATATTATTTTATGATTTTTCTGAAATAGTAATAGTAGTAATTTTTTGAGAATTTGTGTTCCAAATAGAATGGAGAATTGCCTATTGAACTCATGGGCTTGCAATGCCAAAAGAAACTACCGAATGCTTTTCTAGGATAAAAAATCATGTTAGTGTTCAACATTTTTTTAAATCACTGAAAGAACACAAGCTCTTTAGTCTTTATAAAAAAACCCGAGAAAACCCGAATAACCCGAGAAAATCGAATAACCCGAAAAAATCCGAGATTGAAAAAATCCGACTATTATTGGTTTGGTTTGGTTTATATATATTTTAACCCGATACAAATGGTTTGGTTTGATTTTTAAAAAACCCGAACCAACCCGGTGATGTACACCCCTAATACTCTTATTAAAGAATATTCTACTTTTTCATTTATGTGACTTTTTTATGTGTCCAAAAAAAAAAATGCCACATGTTTATATTTGTAAATGATTCAACATTAAATTTTTATTTTTTTAATGAGATAATTTATAATCAAATAAAAAATTTAAAACTTTATTTTAGATCATAAATTTTAAAATTTTGAAATGATTATTATGGGACCTTTTTCGGCTTCGAACTTCTAAGCGAAGTAATTATATACTTGTAATGTAACCAAGTACTTCAACAGCATAAAGAGTTAAATCTTTTCCTCATTTGTTCTTTTAAATGAAGAAAATATTGATCCCTCCTTTTATTATTACTTGTTTAGTAAAATAAAAAATATATATATATTTTTACTCGTCACTTTTAGTATATCAAGAAAAAAAATACAAAAAATTAATTTTAATCCTCAATCTTAATTATTTATTTTCAAATCATTTCTTAAGACCTAAGACTAACCATCAATTAATATAAATATTATAATAAAATATCAATATTAAATTTTAATAGGCGTAAAATTTAAAATAGACAAATAAAAATGAAGAGAGAGTGTATAAAGTGAAACTTGATACCAAAAACTGAAAACCTTTTTAATTTGTTTCCGTTCCTACGAATAACTTTTTCCCATGTGTCCAATTAAGTGAAGTTCCTTTTGATGAAGGTGAAAGTAGCATAGATCATGGGAAGTTGTTTGGATTTTGTGAGTAAACTTTATGGTGTAAATTAAAGAGTGACAGTTGCATGATGAGTCAATCTGATAATTCATAGAATCAAATTTGTATGACTATATATGAATGATATTTATTTGTCACTGTTGAAATCTCATATACAGTGGAGTACCACGATTCCCCGATAACCCTTTGCCAGAGTACAATCTTTTCATTTTTCAACATGTATGCATGCATGCTTTTATGATGGGAAAATCAGACATCTCACAACATTCTTAATTGGCTTAAGTCATGTACAGCCTCTTAAAGTTGTCTGCATAATTCACTTAGATACCTCAACTAAGACTTGCACCTATTGAACACCTCTACCCTTCCGAATTTGAACCATTTAAACACTTTTTTGACAATAAGCTAAAAATATAGAGTGTGTGAAATACACACGCGATGACATGGCATTTCAACGAATTAAATAACGACATTTATTTTTTTTAGTCCAAAAGATTATTTAAAAAGTATTATAAAGTAAATAAAAAAGGATTTATTTTTAAGTAGCAAATAAAGGAAAAAATAAAGGTTGTAACCCACCCCTGTTATCCCATCGGAGCCAAAACGTAACCCAGCTTTTCCTCGATGGTGCTACCCACGACACGGCAAACCACCCATGTTATATTGTTTTTAAACATTTTTGATACTTCTGCAATAGAGAATCAAAAGAAGAAGCAGAAGTACTGAAAAATTTATGGCTATTTTTGATGGGTTGGGGAGGAATTGAGTCAATTCCTCCAACACGTTATTTTTCGTCAAGCTCTTAAATAATCAAAACTAATTGTAACTTTCTTCTTCGTTCCATTTTTGGTACAAGAAAAACGAATTCTATCGGAAAATTAATAAATTCTTATCGACAATGTTAGAAAAAATGGAGTTACAATGAATTTCTTTGTCTGATTTATAACTGATTTTTTTAATTGAAGAACACCTTACATTTACATAAAATTTATATTGATTTAAAGAAACAAATTTCAAACTTTAATCCTCTACAAATTAAATGATGAAAATGACGGTAATTATGGCAGCCATGGCGGTGGGCAGGTGGCAATAACGATGATGTCAATCTTAATATGAATGACAATGGGGGCAAAATTTAAAAGGAGCAACGATGGAGGTAAACAAATGGAAATATCCAAAGGAAAAAAAGAAAGAACGATGTATTGCCTGTCACACCTCAAATCCCATTAAGATGGACAGGCACTCAATGCCCTAAAGGCCCGAGAGAACCAACATGTGACCTGTGCTTACTATGCATGTAACTATGAAAGTTTTGTGACAATTTCGCCAGGGAAGCAGCGATACGAACCGACATAAGTAGACCCAAAACTTATATACAAGACTTGGCCATTGAGGCCACAACTTATTAAGATGCAACTGAACCATATACAAAAGTCTACAAAGCCTCTAAAAGATAGAAACCCTTAGAGTAGGTCGGGACAGACCCCGCCTTACCCCTAACTACGATACAATACCAAAATGAATCTACCAAGGGCTCAGTAAAGCTCCGAAGCAACCTGGAGCTCACCAAAAGTAGCTGAGTGTCGTATGCTCCTACTGAGGAAGTCTACTAGCGGGAGTACCTGTGCCTGCAGCATGAAATGCAGCGTCCCCCGTGAGGGACGTCAGTACGAAAAGTATACTGAATATGTAAGGCAACTACATATATAAAATAAGAACTCAAACGAAACCAGGTATCAACGTATAAATGCATAAATCAGAATAGGAGGCCGCCTCTGTTAACTCTTGTGGGGTCATGTAGGTTACATTTTTTTGTCTTTACCTTTATGTCTGTTATAATCTTTATAAGAAATGTGATACGAATGACCAGCTGATCAGTGGTAGAAGAGGATGACCCATGCTAGGCATTTTAACCCCTGGGATGCGGTCCTCAACATTGCACAAATCGAGATCGGCCCATGCTAGGCTTTCGCCCCTGAGCTTCCACCCTTCTATACCCATTGGGATCAGCCCATGCTAGGCTTTCGCCCCTGAGCTGCCACCCATAGTTATACAAATTGCTTCACTTAGATTCTTTAATCTTTGAGATTGTTGTTTTGGTGATCACAATCATTTTTGAGATTTGGAAATACGGAACAGTAGTAGGAGACATGAAAATAATACTTTAGGACAGTAGCTACAATATAAGGAGCTATGTAACATTAATGCATTACTTGAGAGCTTGAATGACACAATTGACTACAATTGACTATAGAGTACTGACCGTGTAACTAAGTAATTATTTACACTTAGGAGGGGGGATATTGTTAGCTATTTGGATATCATACGTTGCCACTATGTTTCCATTTACAAGGAATAGAACTTAGGAAATTCACTTACTGACATTAATCACAAGTATCAGATTTCATGCCAAGGAATATAGAATCGAATCGCCCTACATACCTTATTTTCTGACCAATACCACTGTCACAATTCAGCCTCCCTTCTTGGATGCTAATTTACAATATAAGACACAATTAAGCTAATGTCAGCAGCTAATCACATTAATGCCCTCAAAACAGTAGCTAACACTTTACGGAAAGTAGGCCCATACAACCCTTGCACCAATGGTGAACCACCACACCCTTCTTCTATACAGTATTATAACTTCATAAATCATTTTCCAAGATACCCAAACAGCCCCCAACAACAATATACATAAGGCAGCCACTATCAATCCCTAAAAATCATTCAGCATAATAGGAGAATATTGACTCAAGGATTTATCACCATCCATTAGTTCTTGATAAATATATACAAAATTCTCCACCCCAAATATGTATTTAAAGAGAGGCAA